TTCCAATGGCTATAAACACAGAAGCCAAAGGACAAATAGTGAGAGATTTGCTGGAAAAAGAAAGAAAGCGATTAGATGTTTGCTGGAAGAAGCAAGTTCCAACTTGATTTGTTTACGTATATTGTTTTGTTGAAGGTGGAAAGCTGAGTTTGTTTTGAGACAAAGGGTAATTTGTTGGTGGAAACCATACAGAGCAAAGACAATTGGGGGTGTGGTTGTGGAGTTTGAAAGAGGCAAGAAAGAATATGAAGTCAGGTAGAAGGGTTGCGTCACTCAGCCTTTGAGGAGATTAAAAACAATTCTTTATCTGAAACAGGCAAGAAAAGTTTAGGGCCGGGAGAAAGAAACAAGTTAAACCGGAGGGACAAAAGAGCAAAGAAGCTCAAGATGTCGAGGAAAACATGCAGGAGGGTTACCACTAGTGCCAAATTTTTGTATGTGGAAAAAACACTTTGGCACAGCTAAGGGTTTGAAGGCGCACGTGGCCACACCTACACCCACATACCTTGCTATGCAGGTAGGGAATGTTTTTTACCCATTGGGGTCCAGGGAGTCATGCTGTCCAGACACTCAGAGCCCAAAAGAAGGAGAAAAGGATAAAGTAAACATTTACATAAGATGTTTTGTTTTTGCTCTAGTTGGTTTGGCTCAGTGGATAGAGCATCAGCCTGTGGACTGAAGGGTCCCGGGTTCGATTCCAGTCAAGGGCACATGCTCAGGTTGTGGGCTTGATCCCCAGTAGGGGGTGTGCAGGAAGCAGCTGATCTATGATTCTCTCTCAAAATTGATGTTATATCTCTCTCCCTCTCCCTTCCTCTCTGAAATCAATAAAAATCTGTATTTCTTAAAAAAAGATGCTTGGTTTTCACAAGTTAATTAAAATTTACTGATAATTTTGTAGCTCACCATGAGAAACCTGAGTAAATGAGAAAACTTAGAATTCTCTGAATATTTTCTCCTAATTTATCTCTGGGTTTTTTATTGTAATAGATTATATGAGTTTTTAAGGTTTTTGATTAACTTTCTACAGATAGTCTTCAAGTGAGGTTAATATTGTTATCTCTGGGAACTTCCAGAATAGTGGAGTGAGAAGCTCAGTAAATATTTTCCCAAAGAGCAATGATATAACCAGCAAATTTTTCCAAAACAACCATTTTAGGACTTTGGAAATTGGCCAAGGGCATACAATGAATTTTATTCAGGAAAAAATAATAAACCTTAGTAAGAACAATGGGAATCTGTGGCATTTTAGCCTGTCTCCATTCTCCCCCATTGCCTCAGCTCTGTGACAAGGTAGTTCTATGAGGGTGGGGAAGGCTGGGAAAATCCTGGAGTCTTACTGATAGAGGGAGGCAGACTTGATTTGGAGCTGAACATGGAAAAACCCATTTCCAGGGTTATTGTATAAACAATACCAATCTCAATGGTGAACAATCATGGGAGTAACGAAAAGACTGGTAGAACTACCAAAAATTCTCTAGGGAGATACTGACAAGGTATCTACATATCCCTGGTGGCTGAAAGGCTACATGTATGTACAAAGCTGTATATACACATTCAGAAGAGACAGAGCCTTAGGCATCTAATCTTCACCTGGTTGAATGTAAGACTTTGAATGTACAGAGAGATCTGGGGAAAAGGAAACTTATTAACTAACCCACACTCAGATCCATCAGCAAAGGTTAGATGACTTATTGGCTCATGGTGCTTAAATTAAACACAATCTCTGATCTGTCACCGTCAGACCACTAATTTATGCTGTCCCAGATGTGGCCTCTAGGAAGCCAGGCTTAAGAATAAAATTTTAAAAACCCACACACACTCAAACTAAAGCTGAGCAGTGACATCAGCAGCTGCACACTTTAGGGAGGCAGGATCTAGAGAACTCATCCTGCAAAGTTACTGAACAAACAGCAGCCACCACCACCATGGGGAGAGGGTGGAGAGGGTCATGATGCAGAGTTGCTGCAATATATTAAAACACCCAGTTTTCAACAATAACAACAAAAACATAAGGCATGAGGGGAGACAGGAGTGTGATGCATGCACAAGAAACAAGGGCCATCAATGGAAACTGTCTCCAGAGGGGATGAACAGGAGTTAACCAGGCAAGGGAATGGGGAGGGAGCGGGTGGGGGGGGGGTAAGAACAGTTCCAGGTGAAGGGAAAAGGCTGAGATGAAACATCGTGTTCTCTTTTGGCAACTGAAAGCAGTAGGCTCTTTTCCATGGGCCCTAGTGTATCTTCAGAAACCAGTACTTGGTTCCTTAAAAGAGGTCAAAACCTAATCACTCCTGGGAGGTAGTCAGACTTAACATTGAGTGGATAATGGATGCAGCAAGGAGACAGATGGCTTTCTCATCCTCACTGCTCTACTTACTTTACACAAAGTAATGGCTGACCATATAGTTCTCAAAACAGTCTCCAAGCACAAAATGCAAAGACTATCTCTTCCTCAGGGATAATGGACCATTCTTAAAAAAAAAAAAAAAAAAAGAACCATTCATAAAAAAATTTTTTTTTTACTTCTTTATTGTTTAAAGTATTACATATAGACTTACATGTCTCCTTTTCCCTCCATTGATCTCTCCCCGGCCACCCCCACCCCCCAGTACATGCCTTCACCCCCCTGGTGTCTGTGTCCATTGGTTATGCTTATATGCATTCTCAGCACTGTCCTCTTGCTTAGGACAAAAGCAAGACCGGTAGCAACTTGTTGCCATGGTTCAGGATTTATGGAGACCAGTAATGTTTACGGCATCTTGAGTGGGTTGTTAATGTAATTGTTTAAAGAATATGGTCTCTGTGACCATGACAGAGGACACATCCTCCCTGAAACATGCTTCTGTCATTTCTCTTATTTTTGTCAGAATTAGATGTTTCTGTGTCAAAAACGTTGGCCTGTCTCTTGTATTAAACACAGACTCCTAACCCGTTCATGTCATGTAATACTATCATCTAGCACTGCTGTGAAGTCTGGACAACTTTATTGATGATGGTGAGCTTGAAAAGTGGGTGCTGATTGATGACTTTCAGTGGCCCACTTTTTTCTGAACACTGGCAGTTACCTTCACGTTCCTGTCCTTAATGACTGCAGAACGGTGTTGTCACACAGGGATCCTTTTGACACAGCTACTCTGAATGGAGCGGAAGAGTCACGTTTGTTACAAACTGCTGGGAGAGTTGCCAAGGCTGAGTCCCCAAAGGCTGAAACCACCATCTCGCATAGTGTTTCCTACCCTTGTTGTCTACTTCATCTCCCCCCCCCCACCTTTTTAAAAAAATAATTCTTTATTGTTGAAAAGTATTACATATGTCTCCCTTTTCCCCCCATTGGCCCCCCTCCAGACCACTTCAGGCCTTCAGCACCCTATTGTCTGTGTCCATGGGTTATGCATACAAGGTCTTTGGTTGATTACTCCCACCCACCCTCCCACCCTCCCCCCCGCCCTTCCCTCTGAGATTCCGCACTCTGTTCCATGCTTCGAGTCTCTGGATCCCCTCTGTTCATCAGTTTATTTTGTTACATGGATTCCACATATGAGTGAGATCATGTGATACTTGTCTTTCTCTGACTTATTTCACTTAGCATGATACTCTTCAGGTCCCGCCATGCTGTCTCAAAGGGTAAGAGATTCTGAACTTACTCTTCCCTTGGCTTCTATCTTTCTACATTTAATTCTATCTTTGAATATTCCTTTTGAATTTTCCTTACTAGTATTCTGACTGAACCTTCTACATGGATACTTCTCAGGTTTGTGTCCTGAGATCACTTTCTTTCTTATTCTGTCCCCAGAGACCTGAATCATTCTAATCAACCTATTGTGGACTTTGTATTCCAAATCTGTACCTTCAACTCCAGAATTCTTCCCTAAACACCTTTAAGCTATCTCAAACTTGGTGTCTTATAGCACCTTTATATTTAACATGTTCAAACGTGAACTCACCCTTTCTAAAATGGCTGTAACTTCTTTTGATGAATACTGCCATCAATATCCAGGCCAAAACCTAGGATCAATCAATCAGGAACCACATCTGGGTGATTCCATCTGTTAACATCGCTTCTACCTCTCCTCGAGCTTCCTATTGCCACTGCCTTAGTTAGTTCAGGCTCTCATCTCCCCACGGGTTCATACAACAGTTGAGCTGGAATCTTGGCCCACCGCTTCTTCCCTGGCTTCCATCCAGACTCTGTCTTGCTGGCAGAGGGGACCTGTTGATGTTGCTTACTCTTCTGCTTGAAAACCTGAATGGTGTCCTGAGACTTACACAGAATAAATTTCAAATCCCTTAGAATAAAGGACAAGTAATAACACAAAATAGTGACTAACTATTCGGAAAACTAACTATTCTCCCCATCTCTCCAAGTGTAAATATTGCCTGCAGTTTTAACATACTTATCTACTGTATTCAAGTATCTCAAAACAAATAAAATCCCTCCAAACATTGTGTTTTTTTTTTGTTACACTTGAACAATAACACATAATAATTATTATCCTGCTATAAAGACACCCCACCCATGTTACCCACGTCACCTACTCTACACACCTACCGTCTATTCATTCCTCTCTTCCTCAGGCCCTTCGCTTCAGTTGGCTTTCTCTTTAGGAATTACTTTCCAGACTTGATGTGTTTTTGTAGTTCACTTTAGAACCTTCCTGTTTAGATAATATAGAAAGAAACTAGACCATTATTCTAACACACTCCTGGCTTATAGTGCCTAACTCAGGAAGCTACATTGAGATTGCTATTTGCAATATTCTTACTTGTGCCTTCAAGCATCCTGTTTGGCCTTGGCCATTTTTCTCTTTGAAAGCTTTCTTTCCTCCTGGAAATTAGCTGACGTACAAGTCAGAAAGACTTCTACACTTATGGCTCAGGGAAAGTAAATTCTAGATCATTACATTTTTTCTGCTTTTTGAGCGGATACCTGTTCCTAATTGGCCTGAAAACACTAGTGTGAACTATAAATGAAAATAATTCAGTCAGATGGACACATATTTTGACAAGAATATTTATTTATTATTAAAAAATACACAAAGGCAAAAAGGTTGCTTAGCTGCTGATTCTCCATAATACAGCAGGGCATTGTAAGAAAGGGGAATATATTTGCTGTATCTGGCAGTTTACATTTTTAAGGCATTTAGGCTTAAAAGTAGCAGGCAGGCCTAGGTGCCCTTACTTGAGTTTAAATACACTGAGGCACACTAGGCAGGTAAGGGATTTGAGACTATACAATAAAATTCTCATGCACTTGTGTCTTAGGATCGTATATCTGTCCCCCCACAGCTCCATCATTCTTTTTTATTTCCACATAAGTTTTGGAATTGTTCATAGAACAATGGTAATAATAGACTGTTCAATAGTTTGCTTATCACGAAAACCGATGGGACACAACAGAACTATCTCATAGACGGGTTCTGTAGACTCTTACCAAATTGAGGCTCCAGTAAGAAAAACACCGATTTATAAAGGCACAGCGGAGGCAGGTTTAATGCATTAAATATAACATGAATCATTCACAATAACACGTTTAGTTTTGCAGGGAACTTTTGTTAATACAACACAGTTGGTCACACAAAATACAAATGCTTCTGTTGATTTGTCTTGGCAACTCAGATACATCAACAGTGCTAACAGTTTAACAGCTTTGTTCTCATCTGACAGAAAATAATGGCAGTTCTGCAAGGCAAATGTTAAACCTGACCGTATGTATTTATTAATTCCACAGTGTTTTGACAGATTATAGGGGATGGAACTCAGAGGATGCTGACACGCTCGCTGAGGGCTTTCATCTCCGTTTCCTCAGTCTCGGGACTGTCGCCGGGACTTGCACTGGGGTTGACCAGGTGTGGGGGGTACTGCAGCCCCTGCTCGCCTGCGTACTGCTCCCACCGCAGGTCGTCGCTTTCGTGGGTGATGTAGCGTTCCCCGGTTTTGCACTCCAGCTCTCGTAAATCTAACCAGGTCTGATAATCCTGATGAAGAAATTCCAAAATATTACCACAGAGATGATTACAACTCATGCAAACACTGTTGTCAGTTCCCACAATTGATGAGTTATCCCTTTTCCTTTCACTCTAACCTTGTGTGTCTTTCCTCAGGCACCCTGAAGTGACAGCAGCAGCACCAAAACCATCCTATTTGCCCGAACTTTACAAACGCACACTGTTTATGTGACGTGCACCGAAGGGTGGGCAGTAGTAAGTGCTTGCAGTCAAACAATTAGGAATGTTGGTATTCCTTTGAGATTGAGACCGCAAATAACCCTTCAGTATTCCAGAACACCATTTTTCTAAACTTTTAGTTCAACCCTGGCGAGTTTTGCTCAGGGATTAGAGCATCTTCCCATGGACCAAATGGTTGAGCGTTTGCTTTCCTGTCAAGTGCACATACCTGGGTTGCAGGTTCAATCCCCGCCCCTGTTGGAACACGTGGGGGAGGCAACCAATCAATATGTCTCTCTTACATCAGACACATCAATGTTTCTCTCTCTCCCTCTCCCTCCCACTCTCTTAAAAGTCAATGGAAAAAATATCCTGGGGTGAGGATTAACAACAACAAAAAACTAAACTTAAATTCAATGTGAAAATAATAAATATTTAAGAGAAAACAAGTGTATACCCATGCATGTACATTTGTTATGCATTTGTTCTGTATTGGTCTAGGCTTTAAAGACACAGGTACAAACAAGTACAGTGCATGGCCATGTGAGGCCATTTACTTGAGCATTTATCAGAGTTGCACCTACAGGTGCTTCTGAAAGCTGGGCCTTGGGGTTTTGTTCTGACCCTTAGGTTTCTTGATTTTGGTTTGGTGGGTGCAAGTGTGTGTGTGTGATTTTCTTGATAGAGAGGCTTAGAAACACTAAACTTTATTAAGTCCTAAGCAGTTGTATTCATTTTGGCAACCAAATTGATATTAGAATTATACTTTAAAAAAATACGACAAAATATTTTTGCATACAATATCAAAATCTTACAAATACTTAGAAGCTCACCTGACTGAGGAAATATCCAATAACTGATTTTTACCTGTAGCCAAGGGTGACTCAAGGTCTTGTCCACACTATAGCGCTTTCTCATTTTTACTTGCAGCAAGTTATTGATAAGATCAATGGCTGAAAAAGAATGTTAGTTATTAGTGAAAAGAAATGACAAACCCGGAGCATATCATGATTCCTTTACAGTTTATTTCATGTCTGCTATTTCTCACAGTTAAGGCAGCACAGTGATAGCAGGCGCTAGAACCTGAAGAACATTCATCGTGAGAATTCTAAAACCTCGGTCTTCACTTTACTTTGGGTGCTGAAAAGTGAAATTGGAAACAATTGTGGAGGAAGGCGTATGAGTCTTTTGTGAATATGATTAAATTTCTCTTGGTTTAGTCTTTAACACATTTTTCTAAAGCAGAAGTTTTATTTAAATATGTTTCGTTTAAATACATCTTGCACTCGTGGCAGGATAAAACTAATATTCAAGAGAAGGCACTTACTAATTTTGTTGTAAAATGTGTTTAAATTTAGAATACACACAATGGGCTTCACAGTCTTGAATTAAATGACGGCCATCTGGATACCACACTTAAAAGGGAAAATATATAAAACATAACATGAGTCGGGACTCATGATAAACTTACAGCCTGAAAACCAGTGGCACACCGGGATTAGACCTGTGTCTCTGTTACAGACAAAAAAAGTGAATTAATTCCCCAACTTCCCCAATGACTAAGTCCTGAGCCCGTGGCTCTGGCTCTATTGTTTGGTCTGCACCAGCACACATGGACCGGAAATACAGACTGTCACAGGGGTGCTGAGGCCACCTGAGACCAAGATCGCTCACCCAATCCGAATGAACCAGGCTCCTTATCATTACAGGCAAAGACAAGTGATTCCTGCCGTCGTTTGGCAATCTAAATTTCTCTCTCTCTGATACGAACGTTCTAAATATTGGCCTGCACGAAAGACTGCAGAATATCTAACACCTAATTCTTTGGCTGAAGAAAGTAAATGCGATAGCCCACATTTAAAGGCTGCCTTGCCTCCACGCCCTGGCCAGGGCTAGGATCCCTTAGGAAACACAGCACTTAGTACAGTTTCCCATTCCACACGTGTTCTCACAGAGCTTTTGAAAGTACAGTTCTCTCAGCGAACGGTGTATTGGGCTTCGGCCTTAAAACATCCATTCACATGATTTACTCACTGGTGAGTAAAGTGCACCTTCCGCTCTGGCTGCTGTGAAGTCACAGCACCCCTGGAGGATGAGGGGCGCAGGGAGAGCTTATGTGTTACGGAGCGCACGCCGCAGCATTAAGCTTCCCCCGACACGCCAGGGAATAAATATATGTTATTAGTTCACTCATTCTGTTTTGAATTCAATAATTAGGAGGGCAGGAGTACAGTAGCTCAACAAAAGGTTGGTTTGTGCCCAAATGGGCCCCAACAGTGAACCACGCGGCCTAATGGGGAGGGAAGCACCGCCAGAGGAGAAACTAGAAGTGTCTGAAGGGAATGGAATATGTGAAGATTAAAAAATGGTTCTGCTGAATGAAGCGTAGTCAGCAGTCGGGACAGCCAGTACCCAGGTGACCTGAATACGCACAGCAAGAGGAAGACGAGGACCGCGCGGGAAGAAAAGCGTTCAGGACACAGGGAGAGAACCCAGGAAACACGTGTGTGTCTAAACATGTGTGTGGGTATTTGTGAATTTATAAACATACTTCTGGCTTGGCAGAAAATGGAGATAATTAACTATTAAATGTTGGTGCCTGTACTTAAATGTTGGGAACCTGGTGTTACTGAGAAAATAGGTACGTCATTCGTGTTTGAAGTTCCATGCTACTTGTCACTCTTTCTGAAACTCTTAAAACATCCTTTTTATTCATTGTCTCACACAATCCAGCATTAATGGTACCCTCCAAATGCCTCTCACTAAACAGATTTTTAAAATAAATTCTGAAGTGTTTTTGTTTTCCTAACAATGTTCTGTTTATTGGCCACATTCTTCATACGTATGTATCAAGCATTCGTTCACTAAACCTGCCTTAAGAAATTATTATTGGCAATTATTTAGGGAATAAACAAAAATATCTGGCCTCCTGAAAGGCTCCCAATCTAGTTGCAAAGGCTAAACATGCACACATGTGTGTGCGCGCGCGCACACACACACACACACACACACACACATAACAATATACACCATTTGAATCTCTGGCCTGTGTCAAGTATCCTGGCATCGCTCTCACTTAATCCACGATTTATTCAAAATTCCTCACAATGGCTCTAAGAATACCTCTGTTAGTTTCTTCAAAATGCAGTATGTCCAGTTCTGAACAGTAATCATATCTCATAGCTGCCACTGAGTGTTCTCTTGTGACACCTCCGTTCCCCCAGGTCTCCCTCCCAGCAGCGACCTCCATGGGAGATGTGTCCACACTAAGGGGGCGAACCCAGTTGCACAGGAGCAAAGTCTAGTAAAACGGGAGCAGCCATAGCAATCCCAGAGGGAGCTGTCCATCTACAAAGTCCAAATGGGTCTCAACCCCAGTTCCAAAACTCAAATTGAGACTCAGAATTCAGAGCGAAAGGGAATGTGGTAGGGCATGCCTTCAAAACTGTGGCAATGGAAGGGGGAGAGGGAGAGACCATGGGAAAGATATAAATCGGGCCATTCTGTGAACTTCTCTCAAAAACAACGCAAAGGAGAAAGTGAGGCCGCCTTGGGGAACTCGGAGGAAAGAAGAGGATGGCAGCAGGATGGAAAATCAGAGAAAAAGGCAGCCTATTGCATAGCACACAACAGGATGCTACTGCCCACGGGGAGGACAAGGACTGCAGAAACCCCAGGCTCCCTGAGAACAGGAACAACACAGGCAGTGCCTGGTCCTCCTCCTCTTTGTAGTAAATCTGATACCAACATTTACAGAGGCAGAGAGGGGTAGAATTATTTCCTGATTGTACCTGCCCAGTTATTCTGGGAGTTTGCTTTTCTAATGCTATTCTGAGAGTTCTGTTATTCATCCTTAAACTCAATCTCATCTTCCCATATTATTAGTAAATTGTTGTATATCTGAGTTCTCTCAACACCGTGGATAGCCATATTAAGCAATCAGATGTTTTTCCGTTTTCTTTTTTATTGAAAAATTTTAAAGGATTGTATGGCTCAGTTTTTCATTTTAAAAGAATTTATCCCTCATGAGCAGAGAGTTCTATGCTTTCTAAAATGGATCCACACTCATGTTTCCTCTAAATTAAAAAAAAAAAAAGAAAATCTGTTTTTTGAAGTCTAATGTTTCTTTTCTTGCTACAGCAAATTATTGCCTAACTAGAGGCCCAGTGAACAAATTTGTGCACCAGTGGGGTCCCTTGGCCTGGCGGGATCGGGCCGAAACCAGCTCTCTGATATCCTCCGAGAGGTCCTGGATTGCGAGAGGGCACAGGCCAGGCTGAGGTACTCCACTGGTGCATGATTGGGGCTGGGGAGGTACCACAGGAGGGTTCCAAGGCATGTCCAGCCCATCTCCCTCAGTCCCAATTGGCTGGACCCCAGCAGCAAGCTAACCTTTGTTGGAGCGTCTGCCCCCTGGTGGTCAGTGCATGTCATAGCAAGCAGTTGAGCGGCCTTCGTATATCATTAGTATATTACGCTTTGATTGGTTGAACTGATGACCTGACGACTGGACACTTAGCATATTAGGCTTTTATTATATAGGATACAGTTATTTTCCCCTAACTTCCTGTACATCAATTTCTGTCATCGTTCCATCAGTTGAAAGACTGAAATGTTAGGAAAGCGAAGAGAAAATTTTTATCAAACATTCCCTTTTACCAGAATGGGCCTTTTAGCAGATGTTGGGATAGCTTAAGTTCTGTGTAGCCTGTTTGCCAGGTGCACAAGAACATCTGAACAAAAACAAAATTAAGTGGTACGTGCAGGTGCTGAAGAGCTTTATGTTTTAATATGAAAAGAAATGTTCCATCAGAGTGTTAATTGTATGGATTCCATTTTCTTCTGGTATCAAAATACAGAATTATCTCTGAAATTGTGGAAACTATATTGCAGTCATTCTCTATTTCAAAGCAAATGCCATGTGTATGGACACAATAGATTCTGTGTATGTAGAAGACTCATTTGCATGTGCCATTGCATCCAAAGCTTGGAGAAAACCCTACAAAAAGAATGGAACTGGATATATTTGGAGACATAATTGGTCCCTCAGGTTACATCCCTCAGCCCCTCCACCATTCCCCATTGTTTACTATTTCAGTACGTGCCTATGTCCCCCTATTCTCCCCACTAGGTTTCAGCTCCTTTAAGGTCAGACAGATTGTGTATTCATTTTTGCACATAAGTCTCACAAATATTTAAAATAAAATACATCATTTAATGCATTAGCAAAGTGCTTGCTAAATAGCATTTGGGAGACGGACTACATTAATTAGGAATTTAAATAACAATTTTCTCAGCTCTAAGTTTTAATATCCACATTATGTGCATATGGTTTGTATATTTTGGCTAAAAATATTCCTGGATGGTAGGACATCACAACTCTACACAATATAACAGATCAGAGGATCAGTGACTTCTATCAGAAAATTAGAGCAATGCTGAGAATATCTGCAATACAGAGTGGGTTTATTTTACAAGGCTTATTTTACACAAGAGAAATTATTGGTGACCCTCTGGGGCTAACCTGTTTTATCCAGATACAGTACTTTTTACTTTTATTTTTTTCTATACTGTCTTCTGTCTAACGCAAATTATTCAGGTACAGATTTTCAAATAAGAACCCGGATCAGAACTATCACTCTAGAGATGGAGCATCGTCGGTCAGCACTGAGCTCCTCACCTTCTATTTTCCTTTTCCCTTTCCATTCGGCCTCGCAGTCGGTCAGTGCAGCCCTCAGTACTTCTCCCTTTGGTTTGCTTCACGCTGGTGGGTAAGTTGTGTGTTTATTTTAAAAATCATTTTGCAACCCTTCACATTCCAGCTTTCAACCCAGGAAGCTGTTGCCGGGCAACATGAACTGGGACGCTCCTCTCAGGGCTGGAGCCAGAGGCTGCCTGCAGCAACGAGGCCCCTGGAAGTCATCATCTCACCGGTGCCTGAGTCAATTACCGC